TCGATCTCAAATTCCTTGACGTCAACTTCAAATCAAATCATAGCAACGCATGTCGTTGCCCTCCATTTAGCAAACCGGTCTCTAGAATACGACTATTGAATTAATTAACAGAGACATATGGAGACCAGCTCCCACTACATAATTCATGCTAACGTTCTCAACATTATGCAGCCACAATCCATAAAATTTCAAATTCTGTATTTCACACACTGAAACGAAAATTACACAAGTAGGCTAATTTCAGCAACAGTTGATGTGAATAAAAAGCGTAAAAATGCCACGAGTTTCTTTTACTTTTTCATAGGGGAAGAAAACATGAGATACAAGCTTAGATACGAGACTTGGGGATTAAAATAATATCGAACCAAGACTCCAACTCTTCACTTCCTATCTTAAAAACATGAGATACAAGCTTAGATACGAGACTTGGGGATTAAAATACTATCGAACCAAGACTCCAACTCTTCACTTCCTGTCTTCTTTAGAAATCCAATTAGAGATTATCCTAACGCAGTAGATATCAATGAGCCACTTTCTTCAAGTGCTGTAAGGTCTTTTGTTTGATCCACTGACGGTCATATGGGAAGGTAAGCCTGAATTTAGTGATCATAGCTGCAGAAATGAAATCATTTATTGTTACAATTGTAGCAATTGCCTGGAAATAATGTGTGCACGAAGTGGTGAATGTTGGAAGGTGCAGCTCGATTTAATCTAATACATAAAGACCTACAAAATTACAATTAGTATGATATGATTCCTGCTCTGAACTTACAGAAGCAAAAAATTTACATGTAAGCCAAAAAGTTTACTGAATCATGGGTTCAATTATTAAAATGTCAAAAGAGTTTTCATGGTCTATTTATCAGAAAATACATGATCTATTTATCAGAAAATGTTCAAAAATTTCAATTAATTCATACATTTTTCATGGTCAAACATAAACCGAGTTGCAAACATGAAAAGCAGATAACCCATGCCTCTACATCTTCACCTCCAGAGCCATTTCCCTTTTTGGCCTTTGTCCGATGAAAAA